CATCCGACCACAATTACAGAATGTATGCAATGAGATGCAATATCATGCCAATGTCGCTCCCTATTTTCGAAACAATTCTGTTTCACCTTTTTAAATTGTTAGTGCAGTCCAACCCATGGCAACTCCGTGGCATCACGAGACAAGGATTGGCTAGCTATCCCTAACCACATAGTAACTTCAAGGCATCGCGGGCCTAGGTAGCTCAACCTCGCTAGGGTCTCTCCCTAACCTCTCTAGACCATATTAATGCCACGGACCACTAGGCAACTCCTAGGCGCTCGAGTTTTCGTAAACCATTTCAAAACATTTTCCTAAAAATAATTTTCATTTGCTTTTCAAACATTTTTTCCTTTTCCTTCCCAATGGAATGCATGAATGCTTCATGCTTCTCAAATTGCCATAATCTCATACAATTTAACCTTAACAATATTCCATACCAATTAAGGAAAATTCTCACAAAATTATAGCATGCTTATTATTCACGAATTTTCAGCTACTAAGCATTTAAAACATTAACTCAATCACTTAAGCATGCTTGTCATATCAAATCAACAACTAATACACACACGTATCACTTAAACATGAAAGTCACATGGAGATAAAATTCATATATATAACATCATGACAATTTTTTAAGAAATAATCATAACTAAAAATATCATACTTCAATTATAGGGGAATGAATCACAAAAATCAAAGAGATTGTAGATTGGAACACCCCTACCTCAATTTAAAGAAAAAGTCCCAAATCAGCCCAAGAATTTGAAATCCCAAATAATGGCCCAATAGCACTTTGCTTAGATCAAAACGAAGATCTCGATGTGCTCATTAACTTTGCCTTAAGTGGCAAAATCAAATTCCAAACGGAAGATTAAGAAATCAAGCTTTATAATTTGTGATGTAGTGAGAGAAAAATGGGTTTCATGTAGGAGAGAGAAAGAGGTTGCATGAAGAATGAGAAAAATGAGAGTCTGCTAATGGACTTTAGGCCATATACAATGATATATCATAATGGTGGGTCCCATGCCTTAAGAAAATATCTTCATTAACATTAACTTATATATATACACAAATCAAATTACAACCACTAAATTAAACATGCTACCACATAAAAATGCATCAATTAAAAATGGATGAATTGCAATAAACCCGAATTAAAATCCTCGTGCTCAACAAATCCAATAATGGGTCCCACCTAGAATCTCCCAGCCCAAAAAATGGAAAGATGCCAAAATAGCAACCAATACATTTCCAAGAGTCCTGAACTCACGAAAATACCCCAACCAACTCTCAAACACACCCGGAACACCCCATGGTGTCCATTAAACTATTAATGAATCGCAGAAAATTGAAAATAGAAAAATTCAAGATCATTAAACTATCAATGCCCCTCTTCTTCTCCTCTAGTAGTGAATAAAATCCTATTTTTATAGCCCTTGAAACCACCCCAAAATATAATAGGAAATAGGAAATCTTCCAAACTCAGACTCTAAAATTCGTGTCGTCTTACATCCCAGTTTTGACATAGTAAACTTCCTTTCCACGAAATTTTTATAAAATACGAAATTGTAAAGTTTCGAATTTCCTTTCAGCCACGCGGAATCTAACAATCTTGCTTAACTTGAACGCCTACTCCATGTAACAAGCTTGTTTCTTCACTTGCCAAGCTCTGAAGCTTTTCCAAAGCGAAGGAAACAACAAACTCTGCCATTATTTTTCTTAAGGATAAGCAAGTATGAGCTCTGTTTTGCTTCTTTGGTTGAGATTTTAGAAACAATAAAGTTGACATCAGGTCAACCTTAAGTCATTTAGGTCGTGTAGTGGTGACTGGTGGGTGGGGGCAATAACAAGTTGCAATTAATTCTTTTTCTGTAGGTATATTTGATTAAGTTTTTTTTAGAAAGTTCTCCTATCTTAGAAGGAAGAAATCATACTATTTAACGGTGAAAATGATTTTTACATCGAGTAATTGCTTTAATTGGTCAACTATACAAGAAATAAGAGAGTGAAAACCTCCACTTGTTTGTATTTCGTATGAATAATCAATTAAAAACATAATTCATTGCAACTCTTCTGCCTCACTACTCTTTGATGGTTTAAGATGCCTTTTACCCCCATAAATAAGAACAAGTCTTTTTTTTCACATTACATATAAAGTTTGGTCCAAAAATTCATTTTCCTTCTAATATGTTCTTAAAGAGTTGCTTTCAATGGTGCCTCTACAAGTGTGTGAACTCAAATTAATACATTGTGTTTTTTTCCTCTTAGTGGGACATTCCCGGTTTCTTCCTTTTTCTTTTCTGTGATTGTTGTGCTTTTTCCCTCTCATTCGGATATTCTTGGTTTCTTCTTTTCACTTTCCCTTGATAATTAAGATTAGTCTTTTTTTTTTTTTTTTTTTTTTTTTAACTCTGTTAGTTTGTGAGTACTTTTTCATCTTTTGTTTTTCTTTTTTGAGTAATAGTAAATACTTATTCTAGTGATAGTGAGTTCGTTGCTCTACCTTATTTTTTATTAAAAAACCATTTTGCAGTATGAAAAGAGATGAGTGAAGCCAAGACCCAACAAAGAAAAAGGTTGTTTGCAACTTGGTAGGAGTACTCTCAAAATGGATGACTCTTATGGGACGTTATTTTGCTATGCTCTTCCCTCTTTTTTATTTTATATTATATATCCCGGTAAACGAGGGGAGGGGGGACTTAAACATGGCACACGGTAAATTAGAGGGACTTAAAACATGGCACACTCGTTCGGAGAGTTGGACATTCTACTAACTAATTGAAATGAGTGATCGTTTTGCCTATTTACCCAAAAGTTCAAACTGTTGAGTAGTGCTGCATACCCATCCATTTATACCCAATCACTTTCCTATCTAGATCCGATGTAGGACAAATGACCTTTATTACATTTTCCCCTACCCAAACCCATGCAACGCCCTTGTTATAGTCGGACCACACTACCTATCTGGGGTGAATACCCAGACGCCCTCTGGGTCGGGCGCTTGGCGTGGCACTGGATCAAGGATTGGGTCTGGCTTTAATACCAACTGAAACAAGTGGTTGCTTGCCCATTTATCCAATAACTCAATCTGTTAGGTAGTGTTACATACCTATCTATTTGGACTGAAATCCTCTCCTGTCAAACAGGAGATCGATTCCCGTCTGTTCATACTGTAGCAGTAGTAAAAAATAAAAAAATAGTGTTCTAGTAAAAATAGGTATTATGAAAATATACAATATTAAATATATATATACACATATATACGAAATCAGAGTCCTTCACTGTTCAATTTCAACACCAATTTGCAAATTCAATTTGAACATCCCAAATTTCAACGTCATTCTTCTTTCTTCTTCTCTCCCAAAATATAGAAAATATATATATTTCCTTCAAAGAAAGTCAGAGCTCTCCATCCCTTTCCTAACTTTTCTTCTTTCCAAATTTACAGGGTTCTTTCCAAAGGTTTTCTTACAGGGTTCTCTCCAAAGGTTCTCTCCATCTCTTTCCAAACTCAGAGGTTTAATATGATTGAATCGTATTAAATTCTATTTCATTAGTTTTGTTTGGTAATTTACAAGTTCTTTCCAAAGGTTTGAGAAGAGGTTCTTAAAGGGTTCTTTTGAAATGTTCTCTCCATCCCTTTCCAAACTCAGAGATTTAATATTATTGAATCGTATTAAATTATGTTTAATATTATTGAATCATAATAATTTACAGGGTTCTTTCCAATTCGTAATGGTTGTTGACAATTATGATCGGTAATTATAAATAAGTTAACATGGTTATAGTTTTAAACTTCCAATCTAAGATCTTAGAATAATTTTTTCATTATATTCCTGTAAGGTAATGTTGTATACAATTTGTAATGGTAATCGATAATTATGATTAGTAATTATAAATAACTTAACATGTTTGTAGTTTTAAACTTCCAATTTAAGATCTTAGATATGTCAATAAACCTATGAGGAGATATTGTAAATAAATGATTTAAAAAGATAGTATCTTTTATAATTGTTCCTCCCATTGATTTGCGTTAAATATGTTCTAGCTTGTTAGCTATATACTCCTTTTGTTGTTAAGGAACTTTCATTATCTCAATTTTGGGGTAAGTTATCATCTATGGTCAGTTGGAGGAAATTCTTTAACTCTTGCAACCGTTGGAGTTTTCTAAAATTCTATTTTAAAATTTATTTAGTTCTTGCTTGGAAACAAAATTTTTACCATACATTCCCTTCTCTGCCTAAAGTCTCCCTGTAAAATTTGATAATTTTTGAACAGGTGGATATTTCTATAAAAATCATTGATTATCTGCTGCCCAGTTTTTTTTATCACAGTTTGGGGACTGATTTTAAGAAAATGATTTGACTAACTTCCTAACATCGTTAAATTATGAAACTTTCCAATTTTGTTAGTTCTTGTTTCTAATTTCTAGAAACAAAGGTCGCTTTATCGGCTCCATAAACGACCAAGCAAGCCAAAGTTCGACACTTGGTGGGATTTCAGTACAAGCTATGAAAACTTTCTTCCTTCTAAAAACTATTTTCATTGGTGTATTTCCAGTATCCGGGAATGGCTCAGTCACATTTTACTCTAAGTCTAGCTTCTAAAGAATTTAGTTTTCCTCGTTCCTATAAAAATTGAATTTTCTATCATTTTTTGTATAACCACTGAGCAAAATTTTTCTTTAGTTGAGCACTGCTATTCCAATTTTTGCTTTTAACCTTATTAATCGCATCCTATGGTCTTGGGGCGTGATAGGTTTGGTTCTCATCTTCCAACATGTCTCATTTACTTGTCGATTTTTATTTAGATTGTTTAGAATAAATATTTCCTATATACCTTTGTTTCATTTTCTACATTGAAATTTTCTATGTTCCATATCTCTTTCACAGTGGAAATAACATGTTACTAATGTATTTTATAACTATATAAATTTTTTTTTTTTTTGGTATATGAAATCCAAAATTTAATAGGTTAAGAGCTCAAACTCTTTTGTATAGGAATCAAAGGAAGGTACAGGAGTTAATATATCAAACATCACTATGACTTTCCATGCTGAAGTATATGGACTCTTCTAAAGGTATTGACCCTTTACTAGTGTAATATTTATTCATTTTTTTTTTTATTTTTCCAATGTGATAGTCACATATATGACGTATGTTCATGATTATTATATTCTTTCTTTTAATTTTCCTAAGCATTACTACTGAACCACAATTTTTTTTTTTTTTTTTCTACTCTACTCTCTTTCATCATCACCGCTTTCTATCCTATCCCTCTGTGAGCACTACTACCTTGCATTACTTTACACAGTAAAATGAATAGTTTGTTTTGGTTGCTTATTCTTCTATTATACTAAGATTGAGAGGTGTTATTAAACTGAATAATACTTCATCATTCATAAATTTTTGTTTAGAGTAACAAAGCAGTAACAATAGGAAATTTGTTCAAACAAAAAATGTTTTAAGTTTAGCCGATTCCTACAATTCCATTGCCAAATGATAACCAACCCACATTTTTTAAACACAATTATAGTCTCCAAAGATTATGCTTGATATGGATCTAGGTCATCACTAATTATTTGAAATTTTTCAATGGTAATAGGGAGACAAATTGGTCTCTAGACCTTTTATACATGTAGACTATTTAGAATTTTGAAATAGATCTGGGTCCTCATTAATTGTAGGATGATAATAGAATGATCGACATGAATTCAAATAGACATCTTATACATTATAACTTAAACAGATTGATGTGTCATTGAAATTCTGGAATGCCCCAGTCTAGAAGAAATGTTCCAAAAAGTAATTTTACTTCCATTGACTCATTTATTTTTCCTACACTTATAGTTCTCTCATTTGTTTTCTGATTTATAGTATGGAAATGCAAGAGCTTCACCTCAAGTCACTCCTAATATTCAACCAATAGAAAATTTAGAAGGATCAAAATGTGAATTATTACATTGGAGTGAACCAAATGTAGTTGTTATTGAAGTTATCGATTCTACGAACAAAAAATCATGTGTGGATGGTATTCCTATTAGAACCGAATGTTGGAAAATCTGGGTCAAGGTTGTATTTGATACTGATGTGACCTTATATAGGGCGTGCAAATATTACTTGTACCTTCTACAAGCTAAGGGAGAATAGTTTCATGGCCCGCCAAGTTGGTTAGAAGAACTTAGTTTCAAAGGTAATGGTTTTATATTAAATATAAATGTGTTGATTTATACATTTATAAATGCATATAATTATATTTTTTATGTATAAGAGTTTGAACCTTTGTCCCCATTTTCATCTTCCTCTCTTTCGCCTTTTCCTTTTCGCCTACTTCTTCAAGGCATTAATGTGACAATTTAATGTAATAACTTGTCTTCTTTCTTCCATTTTTTTTTTTTTTTTTTTTTTGGCAGAGTGTGATTGTAGGATCAATTTTTGCCATATATGTTATGTTCTTATATATGGTAATGTAACATAATGTGAGGATTCTTTTTTCACATTGGAGACATGTATAATTTGTGATATTGAACCATTGAACACACGTGCAAGACAGACATTGTTGTTTTCATTATAGAGAAAATGATTTTTTTTTTCTTCCAATTTTTTTTTTTTGTTTTTTTTTTTTTTTTTGTTTTTTTTTTTGGCAGAGTGTGATTGTAGGATCAGTTTTTGTTATATATATTATGTTTTTATATATGGTGATGTGACATAATGTGTGGATTCTTTTTTCACATTGGAGACATGTGGAGACATGTATAATTTAATATATTCAACCATTGAACACAGGTGCAAGACAGACATTGTTGTTTCCATTATAGAGAAAATGATTTTATAAAAAAAAAAATCGCTTTTGATGACATGCAGAGCATGCTGTCAAAAAGATGACTATGAACAACATGATATGGTATGCTATGTGTGGTTTAAAGTTTGACCATATCATCCCAATAAATTCATAACTAACTTTTTGCAGTGCCAAAGTAATAGAATCCAAATACACCTCAAGTTATTTGCTTTTGCAAATACATATGTACCAATCATCCTAATACATTTGTACAAAGTTTCATTCCAAAATTATAAAGAACATCCCAAGAAATTCGTAAGTACCAGAGTAGTTGCATCCACACTACTTTATACATAATTCACGTGTTGTCTAAAGTATTTCCAATTTTTATAGGACCAAATTAATACAATCCAAATACACCTTTTAAGTTATACGATTATGCAAATACATATGTACAAATCATCCCAATATCTATGTAATCGTTTCGTTATAAATTTATAGAGAATAACCCAATAAATTCATAAGTACCAGAGTACTTTTATTCACACTACTTCACACATAATACTAGTTCCAATATTTTTGGACAAACTTTCGTTTCAAAGTTATAGAGAACATCCCGATAAATTTGTAAGTACCTTTGCAAAAGCTTATAACTTAAAAGGTGTCTTTGGATTCTTTTACTTTAGCCCTTCGTAAGTAGCAGATTATTTACATCCATACTACTTCAGACATAATTGACGTGTTGTCTAAAGTATTTCTAATTTTTTCAGGCTAAAGTAATATAATACAAATAAACTTTTTAAGTTATAATCTTATGCAAATACATATATACAAACTACCCCAATAGTTATGAACATATTTTCATTCTAAAGTTATTGGGAACATCCCAATAAATTCGTAAGTCAATTTTGAAGGCCCAAAGTAATAGAATCCAAATACACCTTTTAAGTTATGTTATTTCGCAAATACATATGTACTAGTCATCCCAATATTTATATAGATAGTTTCATTATAAAGGTATAAAGAACATTCTAATATATTCGTAAGTACTAGAGTACTTCCATCTATACTACTTCAGACATAATTGACGTGTTGTCTAAAGTATTTCCAATTTTGTAAGGGCCAAAGTAATACAATCCAAATACACTTTTTAAGTTATAAGCATATGCAAATACATATGTACAAACTATCCTAATAGTTATGTACATATTTTCATTCTAAAGTTATAGGAAACATCCCAATAAATTTGTAAGTCAATTTTGAAGCCCAAAGTAATAGAATCCAAATACACCTTTTAAGTTATGTTATTTTGCAAATATATATGTACTCCCGATATTTATATAAGTAGTTTCATTCTAAAGTTATATTACCATTGCATACATTATAAATTGTGAACCACATAAAACAAAACGTACTACACCATACTTCCCGATAAGGAAGTTCACTTACTTTTTTCTACGGCTCCTAAGCGGTGGAATTTGGAAGTCATCATCCCTAAAGTTATAGAGGGTTAAAGTTGTTGAATATGAGTCACCCATTTTTCCACTTGGTATGATTTCGTATTTATTTTACAAGTTGATATAACTTAGGGTTATAACTTGTTGTATATCATAGATTATCCCATTGTATTTGATTTTTATATGTATTGTGGATTGCTTTCAATGTATTCCAATCATAGCTCACCCTTGAAATATAGACGTTAGGAAGCATGATCCATTGAGTACGGTTTATATTATTCATGCAAAGACCAATGAGACTATAGGGTATACATATACTTATTTCTTACGAGTAACTTGTTTACTCCCCCTAATTGTTTAGGATATTTTTCTGGTAAGGAGACCTTGTTTTGTGATGCACAACATTCCTAGGTTGGTTTGGTTGTATTAGCGTCCTTTTATGTAATCGGCGATCGATCGCCGAATTCGAGACTCTGAATCTTCTTATGCAAATACATTTGTACATGCCAAACAATTTCGTACATTTGTTTAGGTTAGCTTGGTTGTATTGACATCCCTGTTCTCACAGTTTTGTTAATTTTTTTGTAAAACTTCGAGATTTCATATCTTCTTCATCTAGATTCCGAATCAAGTGATTCTTGAGTCTAACTTTGTTAATTTTTCGTTGTCTTTCCAATGGTGTGCACAGTAGTACCCACTTCTATTTTGAAAAGACCATTTTACCCCTAGGGTTGTACTTACCCATTTTCAAAACTTAGCTACTTTTGTGTATAAGTTATATATATCATCATAATATATTCATACTGAAGAGAATGTATGAATTCACTACTTCTGATTTAATTAAAGTCCTATTTATAGTGTTTTCAATTTTTTAGAGGCAAAAGAATATATTTCACATATAACTTTTAACTCATAAACTTATGTAAATACATTTGTACAAACCATCACTACTTTTATTTAATTACTTTCATGTCTAAGTTATATATAACATTACAATATATTCATATTGAAGAGCGTGTTTGATTCTAATTTAATTAAAGTATTATCTATAGTGTTTCTAATTTTTAAGGGGTAAAATTATGTATTTCAAATATAACTTTTAACTCGTAGGTTTATGCAAATACATTTATACAAATCATTATGACCTTTATTTAATTATTTTCGGGCCTAAGTTATATATAACATCACAATATATTTGTATTGAAGAGAGTGTCTAAATCCACACTACTTCTAATTTAATTAAAATTTTGTTACCAATTATTTTGGAGCAAAAGAATATATTTCAAATATAATTTTTAACTCATAAGCTTATGCAAATACATTTGTATAAATCATCATGACCTTTATTAAATTACTTTCATGTATAAGTTATATATAACATCACAATATATTCGTATTGAAGAGAGTGTGTACTTCTAATTTAATTAAAGTATTATCTACATTGTTTCTAATTTTGAGGGGTAAAATTATATATTTCATAAATAACTTTTAACTCATAGATTTTTGCTTATACATTTATACAAAATAATCACGACATTTATTTAAGTACTTTCGGGCCTAAGTTATATATAACATCATAATATATTTGTATTGAAGAGAGTGTCTGAATCCTCGCTACTTCTAATTTAATTAAATTCTTATCTATAGTGTTTCCAATTTTTGAGAGGCATTTAGGAAAAAAAAAAAATGTTGAGGGGCAGAATAATATATTTCAAACATAACTTTTAACTCATAAGCTTATGCAAATACATTTGTACAAATTATCACGACCTTTATTTAATTACTTTCGTGCCTAAATTATATATAACCTTCCAATAAATGTAATTTGTGTCAATTAATGGTCATACAATAAATTCCATGAATAATTGTAACTAAATCACTATTTATTTTTCCTTCAAAAAATCATCTTTGATTTTTTAATTTGAACACATTTAATTATTCATCATGAAAAATATGTATTCCATAATATATATATATATATATATATATATATATATATATATATATATATATATAATATGTGTCAAATTATAGTTAATATAATCCCAATGATAACCTAAAATGAATCATCTTTTATTTCACATCAACACAAGAATATCATGGAGATATATACATCCCAAATTAAATGTAATATGTGACAATCAAATATTATACAATAAATCCCAACAAAATTGTAGAAAGAATCACCCCTTATTTCACTTGAACACGGTTTACAGTCTTCATAGATAAAACACACATCCCAAATAAAAATCACATTTGATTACATTTTAAGAAGACAAATTAAATCAATCTTAATAGAAAACATACATCCCAAATTAAAACTGAAGTGTGTGAAATTGTAATTATTCATTAAATTCCCAACATAAACCAAGAATGAATGATCTTCACTAGAACACATTAATATGGATAGAATACATCCCAAGTTAAATGTAACGTGTTTCAAAATTATTTGTTCTCTATATCATAACATAATTGTATAATAAAAATTTCAATTATACGTAAAATAATAATAATAATAAATAAATAAATAAATATACATGGCATTTATGCGAACTTGTACATGAATAATTTCCTATTGTAACTCAACTCCATTTGTACGCAAGAATGCCAACCATCTAGTGTCATAGACAATCCAATCTACCTGTAATCACAACAATTTAATTTGCAGTTTAAATTTAGAAATTATAAATTTTTAGAACTCTTAATATAAGCTTAAATTCTTAGTTACCGTACCACCCGTTATAAACATTGCATCATGATTCCTAGACTCAAAACAATGTTGGAGGTACATATGCCTATCTCCGATTAAATTTTTTAGCCCCTCAAGTCCAAGTATTTGCTCTATTGCACCGTAACATTCCCATATCGTCGTCCATTTAAATTCTAAAATGGTTAGCTATCAAGACTAATATCCATGAATATGACACACACACACACACACACACGAGACTGAGCATATAAAGATCCTTTTGTTGGTAACTAACAACAAATGATACGCCTGAAACTAACGTGGTCTATGTTAATAGAAAGTTTTAAAAGGGATAGACATTGATCATAAAAATACCTAATATTTAACATTATTTGCACAAAAAAATACAAGATAAAAGAATATTGATTGGAGACAATTGAACATAGTATAGCAAAAAAATCATGATTATAAACTGTACATAAGATAAAGGAAAGAGTAGTACCGGTCAGCTAAAACTCAATATTTTCAATTTATAGTACTGGAAATTCAAATACCAAAGTTTTTAATACATCGAGATATAAATAAAATATGGTATGAGAGACATG